TACATTATTCTTTAGCATGCATTGCATAGTATTCCATTGTGTGTATGTACCATAGTTTGGTTATCCATTCCTCAGTTGATGGACACCTAGTTTGTTTCCATCTTTTGGCTATTGTAAATAGTGCTGCGATGAACATGGGTGTGCATATGTCCGTTCTTGTCATGGCTCTCACTTCTTTACGGTATATACCTAATAACGGAATGGCTGAGTCAAATGGTAGTTCTAGTTCCAGCTTTTGAAGGAATTGCCATACTGCTTTCCATAATGGTTGTACCATTTTACAGTCCCACCAGCAGTGTATGACAGTCCCAATCTCTCCACAACCTCGCAAGCATTTGTTATTTTCTGTCTCGTTGAACTTTGCTACTAGTGCTGGAGCAAGATGGTATCTCATTGTTGTTTTGACATACATTAACTCTTAATTTGCAACACATTTTGGTAGATTTTAGAAGTAGATTGCTGGGCCTTTCTTCCTAGTCCATCTTACTCTGGAAGCTCTAGTGAAGTCTGTAGCATCATAGTAACTTAACAAGCCTCCATGGCAGATGGGTGGTGGCTGTGCCTGAGATGCTTTGGCCAGGATGCTTTGGCAGATGCTGTTACCTTCATTTTGCAGATGAGGAAACCAAAGCTTAGGAGGTAAGGGGATCAAAACTTACTCTGGCCCATGTTCTTTCCACCACGTAGTGCTCCCTTGGCCAGGCCCAGACTTCTCAAATGCTCTTCCTCTTTTCCTTTTTCACTCCCACCCATCTTGGCTCAGTCTTGTCTACTCTTGAGCTTCCTCTCCTCTGAACCTATAGAATATGGCTTGTACTTGATAACCTGTTGCCTCTTGGTATCTCTTGCATTGTCTGAAAATGAGCTGCCATAGGTGAGAACTAGTCTAGAAGTTAGGAAATCTGAGTTTAGTTCTGCTACTGTCTAGCTTTTTTTTAGGCAAATCACCTCAATTCTTTGCAGTAGGCATGGCAGGCAGAATGGAAGAAGATGTAATCTCCTAGGCCCTTTTTTTTCTGATTCTTTGATGGCTAGGTGATTTTTCTTGTGCTAGTATTTTGTCTTCTCAGGCAGGAGGCTTTGTTTTGTTTTGAATTTTTCATTTGAGGTATAATTTACATTAGAATAAGCTTTTTATGGCAAGACTCATTTATGTTCATTAAGTGCCTAGGATGGGCCTGTATAAAATAGATTAAGAGTGGACTTTCTCAATCTCTCTGGGTCAGCAGGTCTTACTGCAAAAACATTTTATGGTGTAAAGGGCATGAACTTTTTGGTGGCTTATCACACTCAGCATCAAACCAAAACCACTTCCTCCTAGGTCACCCCCCCTCCCCTCTCATCACATTGCTGTTCATGCTGCACATAGCCTGCTACCCTCCATCCACAGTGATTATCTTCTGGTTCCTTCAACATGCTGCTTCCTCCCTTCCTCACTGCCTTCTTTCTGTGCGCCTTCTCTGACCTGTTAGGCTGTTTTTTTCTTTACATAGCTAGCTCCTCCATACCTCTCCTCCTGCCTGGACAGGCAGTCCTTGGCCTTTTTGTGTTAATTGTTTTCTTTCCTCATCTCTTCAAGTCAGCACAAAGTGTATTTTGTTTCCTATTGTTTTCCCACTGTGTTCCCCACGCTAGCATGGAACCTGACGTGGGGAAGCCCTCAGACATTCAATGGAATCTTGGGAATTGAATGAGAAATTAATGTGTTTGTGCCCATTGGCTCCAATTTAAAAAAATTTCTATCTTTTTTCTTATGAGAAATGTAGAATTGCTGGTATAGATTCCCCTCAGAGTTACTTTTTCTGTATTCAGGTTCTTGCACAAGCCACCACCTCAGACCTCATTGACCAGTCCGTCAGCCATCATTCTTTGTTATTCTTTGAACAGTCTCCTTTTTCTCCATATTTCATTTTAAATTTTAGAATGGAGTATGGTATTCCTAATATATTTAAACAGAGTCTAGTTGAAGAAATTATTTAAACCCTGACATTTTTCTGTTATAATATAGATCTAGGGTCCTGTGAAGTGCTTGTGTTTTGCTTTTATTCTTTATGAAATTTCCTGGGGCAAATATATGTCTGATTAACTGAAATATAATGGGCAGGGCCGTGATAAGGAAAATGTGTGAAGAAGTGAGTAATTCCTCGCCATGCCCCACATTTCCTTCCTTACTCCCCGCTGGCCAGCAGAACATTCTCTTCTGCTTTCCCTGACCCTTGGTATTCCTCATAGATGTACAAGAAGTACCTGTTGTTCTTTTATTACTATTGTCAGTGGTGGTGTTTGTTTATGGCATCGAGTCAGGCCCGAGTCATAGTGACCCCTTCTTGGGTTTCCGAGGCAGTATCACTACGGAAGTAGATTGCCCAGTCTTCCTTCCAAGGAATGGCTGGTGGGTTTGAACCACCAGCCTTCTGGTTAGCAGTCAGTCATATGCCTTAGGCACTATACTACCAGAGTTCCTTGTCAGTATCTTCCTATATTTCAGAGATAAGATAAAAAAAGAAAACCAAACCAAAAATGAAATGGCTCTTCAGTTAGCATTACATTCTTTTCTCCTTTTTTATTTTAGTACTGTTTTAGTATTTCAAACAGTTCAACAAAATTTCGTATTTATGTTTATAATGATATTTTCAGTAGCTGAAAAAATGAGAAAATTTATTCATCAAGAAGTCAGTATTTTGACTCTTATTCACATAAGCATTTTTCCTTATGTCTTTTTCCACAAACTTGTCTTACCTCTAGCTTTTTTTTTCATGACTAAAGGTAAGATAATATTAATAAAAAATAATCAATTCTGAAGTAATCTAAAGGATTGTTTGACAGTGTGTACATATGTGGCAAGTGGAAATAGTTTGATAACAGATGAAACCACTGATGCTTGAATGTGGCTGCCATGTCATGCAGAAATGTGGAAATGAGGGCTCTTGCAGTAGATTTGAAATAGAAGACACTGAAATCCCAGTTATTGGATGCCTGAGGCAACCTCTGTAGCTATCATTCCTTTTAACAAAGACTTTTGATGTAGCACATCTGTCGTTTTAAATTATCTCTGCAACATATTTTGTAGATTATACTCCAGTAGGTTTACAATTCAAATATTTTATGTTAAGATTATTTCTGACTTCCTTTTAAATGTATTACCTCTTTTCTAGCCTGCACCTGAGATTAAAGTTGTGTCCAATCTGCCAGCAGTAACCATGGAGGAGGTAGCCCCAGTGAGTGTGAGTGATGCGGCTCTTTTGGCCCCAGAGGAAATCAAGGTAAGTAGTCAATGTTAAAGCTTAGTATCTGTTTATAAACTACTTGTTTATACTCAGATCTCCATTTATTTAATGTCATTTGCCTTGAGTTTATAGTTTTTATTCTAGTATATCTCAGTAGTTTCTTAGTAAGTAGAGTCAAACTAATGATGTTTAATTAATTAATATAATATAGTTTATAAATATTAATAGTATAAAGTTGTTTTTTATGTTTTCAGGTTGTCAGTATCTTGTTATAATCCACTTTGACTAATAGCAGTGATGTTAGGTTTAAAACAAATTGCTTATATTGCTTGTATACTAGAAATATTCTTATAGCAGCATTTTCCCCTTATTTTGTCCATTGAATGTTTATCATATGAAAGGGAGTTCTAAAATAGAATGCTTGGATATTGAAGAAATTGGATGGATGTACAAAATGCAGGCAGTCGTTGCTTGTGAGCATTTAAAACCATGCCTTACATATTAATGATGGTTCTCTTGGGGCCTCATCTTCCTCTCCAGTTAAGCAGCAGAGCCCTCTGTTCAGTAGACAGCTCTGGCAGGACAGGCTAGTAATTGAGAGGAGGGTACACTCGGTCCTCTCACTGGATGGATGTTTTTCTCCCCTGCTACTGTTCTCTTGGAAGCTCCACCCTCAGCCCAGTAACTATCATTAGCAATTGTGAACAAGGGCCACCTCAGGCATGCCTGCTGCCTGTGTGAGTTAGTTTGGGAACTAATACATGATTGCAACAGTCTGTCAAAAGCTACATTCCAGGATTGGAGAGCTCTTTGGAACAGGCGGGGATTGTGCCACATGCTCCTACACTTACCCATACACTTATATAGCTCATGGGCCCATAACCTGTAGACTTATAGCTCATGGGCCACCTACCATGGAATTGCACTGTCATTTTTCCTTCTGTTTCAATTTCCAGAAATGATTAAATTAACTAGTATGCTGGTTATTTCTTAATAGGAAAAAAACAAAGCTGGAGATATAAAAACAGCTGCTGAGAAAACAGGTACAGATAAGAAACGAGAACGAAGAAAAAAGAAACATCAAAAGCGTATGAAAATAAAGGAGAAGGAGAAGCGGAAAAAACTTCTAGAAAAGAACCATCCAGACCAGGCAGGGAAATACACCAAAGCAGTGGCCTCAAAGAAATTAAAACAGCTGACAAAGGCAGGCAAAGCATCATTACTGAAGGTATGAAATGAGTGAGCAGGGGGGAGAAGACTATTGACAGGGCTTTGTAGAGTAGGCTTTGGCAAATGGTAAGGGGGTGTCTGCCAGACCAAAGTGATTGGCCCAGCCCAAAACAGCACACTTGGACAGGAGTGAAAGGCACTTTGTTGACTGGCTAGAATATTCTGCCGTAAGTAGCCTTCACCTTTCTGAAGTGTTTAATGTAGGTCCTTCATAACATTGAGTCCTGGCAGCATTATTTCTCCCACCCCTTCCCCCTTTAAATTATAAGAGCATTATGGGAATAATGTACTGTTTGAGAGCTGTTCCATGGGAATGGCCCATCCCTTCTCTAATGTCTCTCTGTGCTGACTGACTTCATTGTTAATAATTTCTTCTAGTCTTTTTTCAATTTATATTTTTGTACATTATTGTAACATACTATTATGTTTTTGCACTTGGCATTTTTTCTCTTATAAGCACATTTTGTAGCATGAGCATATATTTCTCTTAATTGCAGGATGAAGGAAAAGACAAGGCCTTGAAGTCATCTCAAGCATTCTTTTCTAAATTACAAGATCAAGTAAAGATGCAAATCAGTAACACAAAGAAAACAGAAAAAAAAAAGAAGAAAACACAAGATATTTCTATTCTTAAATTAAAGTTATGATATATTTTGAATATAATGTAAATATTAATGGGTAAGCTTACAGCCTTTCATTGTTCTGTTTTATAATAAAGTTTTAGAGAACTTTTTGCACTGATGGCAGATGTTTGAGAGTTCTAAGGTTTTGTAAAGACAAACTCTAAACTGTATGTGGGAAGCCAGATCTTGTTTTTTCTGGGTATGAAGTAGGACCTCTATCCCAAGATCCTTCCCAGCACTGGGGCTGTCTGTGCCACACCTGTAGTACTCTCCCTAGGACCTGGGGAAAGGCCAGCTGTTCACACCAGGTGAGTGAGAGTGGCCTACTGCTTGAGAAGGGTGCAGGGGCAAGGCACCCCATCATATCCAGGTTTCTACAGCAGAGGTCCTCTCTGGGATTGCAATTTCTTCTCCAACTGACATCATTTTACAAAACCAGTAGGGGTTTCTCCAAGTGCTTTACATTCTTTCCATTTTGGAAATCATCTGTCATCTGAGCACAGGTTAGGGTAGGCTGTAGAATACTACCTACATCAGATACATAGAGGACAAGGTGTAATCTAGAAATGATAGAAACCAAAACCCACTGCCATCAAGTCAGTTTTGACTTACAGCGCTTATAGGACAGAGTAGAACTGTCCCATAGGATGTCCAAGGGTATAAATCTTTACAGAAACAGACACATCATCTTTCTCCTGTGGAACAGCTGGTGAACTCAAATCACCAACCTTTTGGTTAGCCATGGGATGCTTTAACCATTGCACCACCAGAGCTCCTTAGAAATGATAAAAGTTAAGTACAACTAAGGAGCTAGACTAACCTCTGCAGAAGGTATAAGAGACCACCAGGTCCTCCTTATTTTCATCTCCCTATTCAGAGAAAAGGAGCTGTGGTGCACTGGTTAAAGCATTCCTCTGCCAACCAAAAGGTTGGTGGTTTGAACACACCAGCCACTCTGGGAGAAAAATGAGATAGTCAATTTCCGTAAAGATTTACATTCTTGGAAGCGGCCATCTAGATTAACAATGGGTCTCCTCATCCAGAGCAAAGAAGAATGAAGAAAACCAAAAAAAGGTATGGAAATGATTAGTCTAAGGGACTGGAAGACCATGCGATCCTCAGACTATATGACCATGAGACCAGAAGAACTAGATGGTGCCCAGTTACCACTGAGTGGGAGAACAATGTAGAACAAAACTCAAGAATTACAAAAAAAGAAAAAAGACCAGGCTTGCTGGTCTGACAGAGCCTGGTGGAACCCTTGAGACTATAGTCCCCAGCTGCCCTTCAGGTCTGGAATTGAACTCACTCCGGTGGCTTCCAGCCAAATAAAAGACCGGCATATAGGCTGAATATTTACATCAGGTAGATACAGTCCTTGGAGAGATCAATCATGGGAGAACAGAAGGGCAGTGAATGCACATGGAGACAGCTTGGGGGATAGGTGTGCATGGGAGGGAAGGACACAGGGAAGAGGTAACTATGGGGAGGAAGTGGGGAAAGAGCTGCTGCATTGTGGGAATTTGCAGTCAGTGTCCTGAAACAAAATGTTTAAACTTCTGTATGGAAAATGAAATTGTTCTGTGAACTTTCCCCAAAACCACAATAAAAATTAAAAAAAAAAAAAAATTTACAGCCTTGAAAACCCTATGGGGCAATTCTCTGTCCTGAAGGGTCACTATGAGTCTGAATAGATTTGATGGCAGTGGGTTTCCATGGGAAATTGTCTTGTCTGATAAGTCTCCAATTATACTTTTTGTTAGAAATGCTTTCTGCCTCATAGCAGATGAGTGAAAAATGACAAATTGTGTGACTTAATATGATTCAGCTGAAGCAACAGAGGAAGCCCTGGTTTCCCATCTGCAAGGGTTGATCACAGTCGTCATGCAGGAGCTGGATGAGCTGAGGAAAGGGCCAGGAATGGGATACAATACCAGTCTCTACTGAACTGTACTTTATTTCCAGTTTTATTTAAGATAGAGCTTTCAAGTGTGCCTGTCTTCCAGTTTGACCCTTGGTCTCTAGCCTTAGTCCTTGTTTTAGTGGTGATTTGCATAATATATGGCCCCAGGACTTCCCATTTTTGTTTGTTATGCATTCAGACAGTTTGACAACTGCTAGTTTAATTCTCTTTCATAATTTGTCAGAATCAGGTTATTTTATCTTGTAGTGATGATTTCATTTTACATATATCCAAAGGTAATTTGATATTTGCTGAGTTCAAATCACTTTCTATTTTGTTGGGTTTTTTGTTTTCTTGTCCTCAATCTAGGTGAGGTGATTGCTATAGTTTAAAAATTATATTCATTTAGAGTACTTGCTCTGTGTCAGGTACTGTTCTAGGTGCTGGGGATATAACAGAAAAAACAAAAATTCCTACCCTTATGAAGTGTGTATTCTAGGGAGAACATACACAATTTTTCTATATAAATCAGAAGCCACCATTTATCTAAAACTAAATCAATACTCCTTCCCCTCCATTTTGTCTCCTTAAAGAGGTAATCGGGTAGTCATAGTTTGGAATTGTATCATTCTTTTGCTTTCTGCAAAACATATTTTTACCACATACACGTTTCCTAGGTGATTTATTGCTTAATTTTGCTAGCATTTGAATTTTACATAAATAAAACACTATGGACTCATCTATGGCTTGCTTTTTCACTGAATGCTGATTTCCCTCAAATTCATTCATAATGCTATATTTAGCTAAAGTTCATTCATCTTCACTGATGTGCAATATTTATAAGTGTACTACAATTTTATTTGCTTATACTGTTGACATTTGTTTGCAGTTTTTACCGTTATCAATAATGCTGTTTGAATATCCTGTTCACAGGTAGTACTAAGTCCTAGGCTCTGCACTACTCCGAGTAGAGTTACCAGGGAGAAAGTGCAACAAAGGGTGCCAAATTGGTTTCAAAGTAGTTGTACAAATTGCATTTTCATCACATGTTTATCAGCATTTGGTATTGGTAGGCTTTTAAAACTTTAATCTTTGCCATTCTGTTGGTTTTAGTTGCTGTCAAGCTGATTCTGACTCATAGCGACCTTATGTACAACAGAAAGAAACACTGCCCAGTTCTATGCCATCCTCACAATCATTTCTATGATTGAGTCCATTGTTGCATCCACTGTGTTAGTCTATCTCATTGAGGGTCTTCCTCTTTTTCTCTGACCCTCTGTTTTACCAATTGCAGTGCAGTAAATTACTTAATATAACCCTTCTAGCTATAGTCTTCAATTTTGTGATGTATTATAAATCTTAGCCTCTATGCCTGTTTGGGGTGGGATTTATCCTGAGCCCTACCTTGCTGGAGGGTGGTTCAAGTCACCACCCATCGTTTCCTTGAGGGTATATATGTGAATGTTCTGGCAAATCTCACTTGCTCTGGATCCCACATGTAGTTCGTCATCATTTCATCCCCAGTTCTTGGGACTTGAGACAGCAGCCAGTCATCTGACCTGCAAATCTGGGTTCATGGACTCCTACAACCACATGAGTGAGAGAATACTTCAGACCAATGCCTGACCCATGGATTTGGGACTTGCCAGCCTCCACCACCACATGAGCCATTTCCCTGGCAGATTGTGAATTCTATGAGACAGTACAGTGAAATACGGAACCCTGAGACTGGAGGGAGAGTACTGAGGGGAGGAAGAGGAGTTAATGTTAGAGATGATGGAGTGGTACAGTAGTTTGGAAAACTTGGACATTTGGGACATCTTAATTCCACCTCGTAGGGATCAGCCTTGTGCTGATGCTTCTAAAAAAAATTATTCAAGCACCAACCGTGGTATCTTTCTCCAGGAATTGGTCTCTCATGAAAACGACCAAAGTACAGGAGGTGAAGTCTCACCATCTTTGCTTCTAAGGAGAATTCTGGCTGTATTTCATTCAAGACACATTTCTTGTTTCTTCTGGCAGTCGATGATATACTCAGTATTCTTCACCATTATAATTCAAATGCATAAATTCTTCAGTCTTCCGTATTCGTTATCCAACTTTGGCACGCATATGAGGCAATCAAAAATACCATGGCTGCCTTCTAGCCACAGTGACATCTTTTTAACACTTTAAAGAGGGACTTAGAAGCAGATTAGCCCAGTGTAATACAATGTCTGATTTCTTGACTGCTGCTTCCATGGGTGTTTATTGTGGATCCAAGTGAAATGAAATCCCTGACAACTTCAATCTTTTCTCCATTTATTGTGGTGTTGCTTATTGGTTCAACTATGATGATTTTTGTTTTCTTTATGATGAGGTATAATCTATACTGAAAACTATAGTCTTTGATCTTCATCAGTAAGTGATTCAAGTCATCTTCACTTTCAGCAAGCAAAGTTATGTCATCTGCATATGGCAGATTTTAATGAGTCTTCCTCCAATCCTCACACATGTTCTTCATATAGTCCAGCTTCTCAGATTATTTGTCAGCATATAGACTGAATAAGTAAGGAAGCAGAGGCAGGGATCCAGGTAAGGCCGGGGACCCAGGCCACAGCCCTCCCAAACAGTGGGAAAGCAGAGAATAAGTAGGAGAAGGTGAGGACCAGCACAGAATGAGAAAGCAGAGACAGGGATCTAGGTAAGGCTGGGAACCCAGGCCATGGCCCTTCCAAGCAACAGGAAAGCAAAGACAAAGTCAGGGGAGGGTGACCAGGACAGAGTGAGGAAACAGAGATAGGGATCCAGGTAAGGCTGGGGGCCCAGGCCACACCTATCCCAAGCCATGGGAAAGAGGCAGGAATCTATGTAAGGGGAGGGTGGGGTGGGTGGAGATGTTTTGAACAGCTAAGGGAGACAAACTTGGCTGTCAGTTTGTCCTACTGTAGTGGCGTGTTGCTGTGAGGCTTGAGGCTGTGCCACTGGTGTCTCAAACCCAGCAGGGTTGCATATGGTGCATAGGTTTCAACAGCTTACAGACTGAGACAGGCAAGGAAGAAGGAGGAGGCCATCCACTTCTCAAAGAATTGGCCAGAGAAAACCTTATGAATAGCAGAGAAACACTATCTTGTTCATTACTGTGCAACTTTATGAATAGCCCGGAAACATTGTCTGATACAGTGCAGGAGGATAAGCCACTTAGGTCAGAAGGCTGTCAAAATAGA